GGTATGCAAGTACAGCTCGCATTTTCTCCCAGTAGTTAGTGCTATTCGGTCGGGCTTCATCTCGGGGATCGCCATTGTATTTGGTGTCAAGTCGAAAGTCTTCGGTTTTGCTGACCTCGTTCACGATTTTTGCGGCGTTGAAACATGCATGTATCACGTGATCACAAGGTCAATATTTGAGGGATGTGGTACCAGTAATTCCACCATTTACGTCTTGATAATATCTTGGGTTGAGTCTGAGTGATAAAAGCCACTGAGAATCTCGTTCATTTGTTTTTAGAAGAGCATTTTCAATTCATGGGGTGAAAATTGTGAAGTGTTAAAGGCAACATTCCCTCAGGAGCTCGCTTCGCAGCCATGCCTATCCATGCTCTCTTACTTTTCCGAAAATAGATATATGAATGTGCATTACTAATATCACACCTTCGTCTTCCTCGTGAATTGCCATCTGCAAAGTTCTTAGGGCACACTTTGTGAATAACAGGCTAAAGAGCCGTCGCAGAGTATCGAATTTTGAAAAGCTGTTATTCGGTCGACTTTCACAGGCTTCCCAGAGATTAAGACTCCCTCCTCTCCAGACGTGCTGGAATAAACAGGAAGCTCACTGTCAGACGTTGCTCTGTTTCAGAGATGATTTGAGGAGGCTCCTGCCTGCTAAGGTAAAATCGGTTCCGTCACAAAATAGATTCACGGACTTCCAACTGCATAGAGTTAATCACTCCAATATCAAAGAGAGTGTACCTTCTCATACCCCTTCAAATTTCCATAAATAGTTCGACCTTCTTCGTTTAGCTGACATTTTCCCTCTACTTCAAAACATCAAGACTTCAGTTATCAACCTCCGATAATCTCTGCATCAAGAACAAAACGTACTACTCATACAAACCCTACATAATTTAGCTCAGCTAAATCTTCACTAATCAATAAACTCATTAATCTTGTACAAAACCATCAGCAAATATGTGCAAGCACTCCTATCAAAGATACACCTGCACGTACCGCGACTCAAAAGGAGTTCTCCACCACATCGCCAATAGCCGCACGGAGCGCTGCGAGCGCTACGACCGCCAAACAGGAGCATGTCCCGCATTTTTGGAAGAGATACCCTCTCCACCAGAGGACTCTCCCCCTTTGGGAGAATGCCCTCAGTGCAGAGGACGAGAGGCTAAGGCTGACAGGGATAGGAAGAGTGCTGAGGACGATCGACGAAAGGCGCAGCAGTTGAGTCAGAGAAGGAGACAAAAGTACACAAATCTGCGCCGGCGCTAGTTTGAGTGTATGGGTCAGGGGAAAGTAGGGTATTGATGCTGGAACGTTTTGGATTCTTACTGCTGGACAGTGAGGATTTAGTTTTTGAACGGTGGCGTTACGGCTTGCCCGCTGCCAGTACGTCGATTTTCAAGGTACAGCGGGACTGCAACCCGATTTTGATTATCATTTTTGAATATTATGCATGGCTTTATAAGCATGGATCATAATGACAAGACGACTTTGAGGGCTGTGACTATTGACACTAAGTGAGAGAATGACTAACAGAATAATGATGAGGGTTCTGATTAAGCATTTTGAAATTCCCGCTATATTTACAGTCATACATATATTTCAAATTTCTATTCGGCCTGTACTATTTACAACTTTCATGTCCCACGCTCAGCACACTTCTACACACTTCCTCACTCCTCCCTCCTCAGACCCCAAACCCAACTTCCTTCCCCTTCCCATCCCCCGCCCCCCCGGCAAAATAGATCCCAGAATATCCGATATACCGTTAAACGTGCTTTGGGCTAGAACCTAGAAGTTTTAGATGCTTATGTTTGGAAGCTTCATCGCACCGCCGAAGCCATTCTAAGTGTTACCTATCTTGTCTCTTCGCTACTTTCCAGGACGCACGGCCGCACTTACCTCAAAAAGAAAATTTCACGATCAAATCTCTCACCATTTCTTATTAATCCCTCGTCTCTCATATTTCCTCATGTTGAAGTGAAAAATCAACTTTGAAAAATGACCTCGGCAGCCACCCCCTATTTAGCCGAGCTTCCACCGCCCCTTTCTAACCTCACTCAACACTTTATTTCCGCCTTTCATCCCAACTTTTTAAAAAGAACAAATCACGGGATTCTGTTGCACGTCGCGATTCTACAGACACATTAACATACAGTGGGTGAGCTCTGTAATTATAGGCTTTTGAGCGCTGTATTGAATGGATCTTAGTGGTGGGTTTGGGAGCTTTAGGGGCTGAGAAGCCTGGGAATTAGTGGAGAGGTGGGGTACTGGTTTGGGCTTCCTTTTCTTAGTAGTGAGGCGAAAAGTGGGTTCAAAGCAGAGAAGTAGGGTGAATTACCCCTTTACATTTAAAAAGACTACATGAAATTGAGTTTTCACATGTCATTGGATGTCATCAAGTTTTTAAAATTCATTCATTCTCCATTCCAAGCTCATAACTCCTATCTTAAAGCAACCTGTTCCCAAGAAAAGCCATCATTTCCCATCTTTCTGAAACTTTTCCATCCCCAGCTTCCCGATCACTGATTTCCCACTTCGTTACTCCCCTCAGTCCTCATCTGGCATTGGGATAGAACGGTTGACTGCTCTCCTGGCCGTTGCTTCGCTGAGATTGACAACGGTGGTTGGTTGTTGTGGGTCCTCCATGTTTACATCCTCTTCATTGACATCGGTATCCATTCTTTCATTCGGTCCCAGGACGACGACATTGTCAGAATCCATTTCCTCTTCATATTCATCCTCACTACCCATGTCTTCATATTTGTTCTCGTCCTCGGCGTGCTGATCAAGTTACATATCCGAATCGTAGGTATCAGAGTCGATATCCATCCCCTGACCACCCCTCAAGCGGACCCTCGTCGACATCTTCTCCTTCAGATTCTCCAAAATTTCAATCCCATCTCTCCTCCTCTTCAGAATCGACTCTCTCTCACTATGTCTTCTGTCTGTTGTATCCCTCCATCCCCCAACTTCTTGCCCCACCTTAGTCCACTTGAATAAAATCCTCTTCCTCGTCGCCCCGTCACCTTGCTCCACCTGGATAATACTAACGGACCTCTCATACCCAAAGGTCTCGTCCCATCCCCACCTTCTCCGGATTGGTTCCCACCCAGCTGCCTCCAACCCCTTCGCCACTATTCCCCCTTCCTTAGGATGCCTAAAAGCATACTCCTGCTTCACTACATGATGCTTCCAGTCACTACTCCAAACATAAGGGTTTCCGAAATAGAATAATTTATTGTGTTGAGGCGCTTCTTCCTCCTCCTTGAACTTCTTCGGATCCAAGACGATAAAATCTTTGACATCGTGATTGCTGTTGCTATCGTGGTTATTAAGCCAAAGCACCCTAGTACCTTGCCTCATTGCGAAACTACCCTTTAGCTTAGGGACTGGTCCAATGGTCTGGAGCGAAGGATTCTTGGACACTTGATCGTTGACATCAACTTCCGTGCAGCTCTTGGAGATACTCATAGCCCGTTGCCAGAGTTCGAGCTGGGGCAGATGCTTTTTTGCGGCTTCCGGGGTGTAGCATCGTTGGAATTTCTCGAAGGATTTGGTGTAGTTGTCGATGCGGGACCAGGAAATTCGGAAAGTGGTAAGCGACAAGTTGATAAGGCCAAATGTTGGGTTGAAAGTTAGATCTTTTCGTCCAGTGACCCATTGTTTGAGTTCATTGTTAATTTGGTGGCAAGTTGAGGAAAGAGCTGAGATTGGTCCTCGGTCTGTGTTGGTTGGATTGATGATGACTTCGTGATCAGAATTGACAAGGGCGTCGTAGATGCTGTGGCGGACGTCTGAGTGCAAGAGCTCGAGGAACAAGGAGCTGCCTCGAGTGGTTGATTGATGGATGAGCTCTGGGAGAAGTTCATCACAACAAGCTATTAAATTCTTTTTGATTGGTGCGAGATCGAGATACTTGGTTCGGATCGTGTTGGTGATTTGAGTTTCGCTAGCGTGGTCGAGTTCCATGGTTTTACTCTTGGTCCCCGTTTTTGAAGTAAATGGTTTAGAGAGTGACTTAAAGCTTGAGACAAGTGCCTCGTGCTTGGTCGTCGTCATTTTCTTGCCGGTTGCTGAGTTCTTCGAAATCCTGAATGCTGGTGTGGGTGCCATTTTTTGTCGAATTTGTCGAGATCGAGAAAATAGGGGAGTGAACCTCGAATAGAGATTATTGCAAGATCAAAGTGAGAAGTACTTCTCGAGCTATATGAGAGTGTTTTGATGCAGTATTTTGTTGCTTGGTGGTTGATCACAGGTGCTTGTCGTGCTGTCGTTCAATTCGTGCTTGTGAGATGAGAGAGGATGAATTTTTGGGAAAGAACGGAGGGCATCCCAGGAATATATAGGTAGCAGTGCTGTGTGCGACAAGCTAACTTGAACCACTGATTCGAGCTATAATAGGGCCCGATCATAAGATGAGGGTATAGATGCAAACCCTATGCCCCGAGTATTATGATTTGGGACCGAAAGACGGGTATATCAACTTGACGTCTCCGAAGATCGTGACCACGGTTCGGCCCAGAGAGGAAGAAGTAGAGCAAACCTCAAAGCCCACAATTACTCCCAATGCGAGAGAACATTGTGCCTTCGTTGCAGAAAGCCATTTCATTCTTGATGCCCGTTCGAGTTTCCGAGACTCGCCTCGGAGGGTAAGAGCGAACCCCTATTCTAAGCGACGCAGCTGGACAACTGGACTCGCCGCTTCTCCCACCTCATCAAGGCGCCATCGAAGCTTGCCGGCAACCGTTCTTCTGCTTTCTCATTAGGTATGAAATCAAAACCCTATTTTCCTAGAGTGTCCCATTGATCCGGAGCATTTGGATGAGCTACCACCAGAGGGCTAAAGCCAAAATAGCCGAGTTTCCTGAACCCCACTAAAAAAAGACCTTTTCCCACAAGAAAAAAAAGAGACGTCAGACATAATCATGGAACCACAATTATGCTCAAGAAGCAAAGCAAAAAAAATTCAAAAATTCAAAAATTGAATTAGAGCTGCTTTCCGATACCGGGAATCGAACCCGGGGCTCTCCGGCTCTTCTTGAAAGCGGAGTATGTTCTTGTGAACGTTAGTGGACATACATTTGAAATGTGATGAATGTTACTTACAACCCCTACACTATATCGGATTGATAATTAGAAATTTACCTTATTTCTATAATTATAGAACCGGCACATCCCAGACCCAAACTCGGGTCCAAGACCTTGAACCCACACCTCCACACCATTTTTCCAGCTAAGCATCTGATCCCGGCTCTCTTCGCTAGCTTTCCTTGTCTTCTTTGATTCTTAAAATTCTTAGACCATATGTTCATCCCAAAAACGGTACATGCATCTGCCATCAGCGTTCATCACTCTTTCTGCTGCAGAGACTAATCTCTAGCATGAACTTACAAATAAAATCGTCCCAAGGTTCATGAAAGCAAACCAGGCCCTTGCCTACAGTCCGAGTTGCACTTTTCCCAAGAAATTTCAGGGACGGGGCCACTGTAAATATCTGCATTATCAAGCTTATATATATCCTATGTCTAGCCTTCAACTGCGTACATACAACCCCAAAGTATTTCCATCGGTACAACCTTCATGACCTCATCTCATGTGCTCTGATCTTCATTAATGAGAGAGATGTGTAAACGGAAAAGCGCTGTCTAGATCTAATTCATATCGCGTGTAATACCCACTTCAAGTACAAATGAATCGCACAGTATCACCCACACCGTGCGTCGATCCAAGGGTGCCACATCGTACCAGCCAGTAAAAGACATACGTGAAATATATATACTGCATGAAGAAAGAAAAAAGCGTCGAAGGTAGAGAGGGAATTATAGCCCCGTGATCTCTTCATCGACAAGAATATCTGGATCGGGTTTTGGTGTGGTCCTGCCCCTTTGCGTGGTTGTATCCTCAAGGTAAACTATCAATAATTAGCTTCCTGTGCAATAGTCGGAGACTTGAAAGGGCATACTGTTAGGTCTAATAAACCAACTACACACAAATCCTACAACGAAACAACAGCTTAGCACCACGAATACCGCCTGCGGGAACGGCTTGACCGTCCACGCATAAATCATATTGAATATGAGTGGACAGACGACTCTGGCCAGAGCGTGCAATAGCCCTGTAGCACCTAGCAACTGGCCGACTTTGTCTTGCGGTACATGCTTCGTGAGTGCGGATTGCAGGGTTGGACTCCCAACTCCTCCTAATGAGGCGATCATACCAGCGACAACGAAGAGGCCTTCTGAGCGCACGAGGGCGTAGCCTCCATACCCAATAATCTCGAAGCAGACGGCTGTGCGGATGATGGAGAGGTCAAGGGTGTCGGACCCTGAGTTTGGCTCTGGGGTGGCGAAACCCGACATGCGACGTTGGTTGTTCGCACGGCGAGTGCGGACAATGTAGTTAAGAAGGGGGAGAACAATGACCAGGGCGGTGACGCGGCAGGAGTTTACGATGGAGGTGAAGACGCTGATTTGTGAGGTATTCCAGCCGAACTGGTAGCCCATGTAGTAGACGACTACTGTCATCGCGCCCATTGCTACACCGAAGATGATGGTGTCTACAGCGGAGAGGAGGATGAGATTTGCTCGGAGGGCTGGAGAGGTACCTGGGCCTGTGGGGTAGAGGATCCTCAGTGGTGCCAGGATGTTGGCTCTCCTGAGGGTTGCCTTCCAGCCTATGGGGCCATTGTTGAATCGATCTCCAATTTCTGCAGCATATTTCTCCCGCGCAAGAAGTTGACGTTTCTTGCTTAGAGATTCGGGTACGATGAGGAAGATGTAGAAGATGAACAGGGTGTGTATGCAAAGGGCGAAGTAAAACATGGTGACGATTGAGCCTGTCTTTTTGACCAGGTATGCAGCAATCAGAGGTCCTATAGCAATTCCGCTAAACAGACATGCATGGAAGTATCCAAATGCCACGGCCCGTTTTGGTGGAGCAGTACAGTCTGATGCGTAGGCATGGGTCAGAGCCATGCCGGCGGTGAAGGAACCGCAGAGACCATCAAAGACAGCACCAACAAGCAGCCATCGGTAGTGGACAACATCAGGATATGTCCCAGCCAAGATTGTGATGATCTCGCCGAGGAATGCACCTAAGCTAGTGATGATGAGCAGCTTCAGACGGCCGTATCGATCTGATAAAGCACCTAATTTTGGGGCCATAACGGCACTCAAAATCCCAGCAACAATTGTGAGGGACAGCATGAACTTTGTGGCCAGTGCTTGCACTTCTGGTATTCGGCATCTCTGGTCGTCTGAGTCGAGGATAGAGTGCTTCATGGACATGGTGCCAATAATTGGTTTGAGGAGGTAATTGTCCTTGGACTCGATGAAATACTCCCGGCATACGAGAGATAGAATCAGGTTGAGCTTAGGAACAAGGATACCGCCCATGGCGAGTGTGAGGAGAAAGAAGGGGGCTAGTAGCCAGAACATCTGTGGACATCAGCTTAAATTCATGAACGTGAATGGTTGTCCTGACCGAAGGTTTGTGCCACCAAGTCAACCCCTCGAAGTCTGCATGGCCTGCCCATTCCGTCTCCGTCCTGTCCTCACTATTTTCTCGTTCACTGTCACTCCCACTGTCCAGCAGGGGCGTAATCTCGTCAACCGATATCTTATTCAGACCAGCATTCCTCCTCAATGATTCCCTTGCTCCCCATACTTCTTCATCATAATGTCCATTACTTCGCTCGCGTATCCCACCTTGGGATTGGGATCCCTCCGCGTTGTCCATTTTATGTATCAATCGTTCAGTGTATTCTTATCGCGTGGGCATAGACATGAAGTTGTCCGGCTGTTCGTCTTATCCTTGCGCCGATCGATTCGCAGGAGTATCAACTGCAGTAATTGAGTATATTGGAGCACAAAGTTGTCCGCACGACCATTGCCTATGCAAGATACAAGAAGGACGCCGTTATCTTGGTGGAGTCTTGTCAAAAGAGGGTCGTGGTGCGCTGGCTCGTTGATGATGGCTCTTAGACATTCCCAGTCAGTAGCGCTGCGGGTCCGATGGTCGCCTATCTACAGTAAGGTTGTATCAAGGCACAGACGAACACGTAATTAGACTTGAAGCTGCCCTGGCTGAAACGGATTCTGGCGTATCACAGCATCGAATTTGTGGGTTTCAAGCAGAAGAAGGTTGGCTTTGGCAGGTGGGCGAGGTGCTTGATAATCACACTTGGGGAACGGGTTTGCAGGGGGGTACCGCCGGGGAGGTCGCTGGCTCGGCACCGGGAGATCCCATACAGGGGATTCTCACAACAGCATTCTGATGGGTGCAACTTCACTAGGAGCACAGGAACAGTACAACGTGGCACTATTGAACATTTTGAGGTATATTTGCGTCTGCCTGGCGCAGACGCGTGTTCCTTCGAGAGACGGGGTAAGATACCTCCTGCCCTCAAGCCCTGCATTTTGACAAAAGAAACTCTCCGAGCCCGATTGCATGTTCTTTCAAAGTGATGACGCTATGCATTGCAACACTACATATGCCGGCATTACGGGGTAGGGTAACACCGAATCAGCTGATAGTGAACAACAACTGGGCAGATCCAAGTGACTTCCCCTTTCAACCAATATAGGTATACACTTTTTTAAAATACACAGAATGTTCTTTTCGCAAATCTAAACTGCAAAAGTCATTCCTGGACCCTGGCCCGCAAAGAACTTTTTGCTCTCAGCACACCTCTCACTCTTGCAACCAGGGCATCTCAGGCCCATCTGCTTGCTACAGGTCTCTCCGCTGTCAAGATGGGCCTTTGCAATGTCCGCCAACGCTTGGATAAACACCGGATGGCCATTCAGACTCTCTGATCTTTTAATGGTATCTCTGTGGCCTGATTCGCCAATAACCTCTTCGTCCAATTCATAGAGAGTTTCGATATGATCGGATGTGAATGCAACAGGGATGAGAATCATGTTCTTCTGTCCCTTCTTGATGTATTCTGAAACGGCATCACTGGTTTGGGCACCAAGCCAGGCGCTGGGTCCAACTTGTGATTGCCATACCAAACGGTATGGATGAGAGTGGCCAAGTCTTTGCATCACGGCGTGAACCGTTGCTGCCACCTCAGCGGGATACGGGTCACCTAACGTGGGTTAGCATGGAGAGTAATGCTCATCAAACACTTTACTACAACGCACCTCTGTTGACCACAGACATCGGCAAGCTGTGCGCTGAAAACAACAGAACAACGTCGTCTCGGACATCTTCTGGAAATGTCGCAAGTTGGTCTTCGATGTTGAGCGCAATGGCATCAACAAGCCCTGGATGAACCGGCCATCGATCGATGACACTCCAACTGATTGTGCCATCATTTCCTCCACCAACAACATTATCTGGAGCCTTCCCTTCTAGTCTTTGTCTCCATTTCCACAGTTCGTTCAGGCTACTTCCCGTAGTCGAGCAGCTGTATTGAGGGTATTGGGTAAAGGCCACGGCTCTACCACCCTTTCCGCCACCAAAACCGTCCTCTAATAACCTATTGTACATCTCTTCAGTCAAAGGATTCGCATATCTGAATGCAACGTATGGCTTGTGGGGTGCTGTTTCTGGCGAGATCTTGTCTAAGATCTTACACATTTCGGAAGCTTGGTACTCGGACCATTTTCGAATGGGAGATCCGCCACCAATTGCGGCATACTGTTTGATAATCTTTGGGGTTCGGCGCTTCGATATCAAAGGTCCTAGGTAGTTTTGTAGTCGTCCAAGAGGAATCAAATCACCATCTGCCTGGAGAGAGTTAGAAGATTTAGAAGATTTAGAAGAAGGTGGGGTGGAAGCGTACAAAAAGCCTGCTCAAGAAGTCTCCCACTTCATCGGTTGTTGATGGACCTCCCATGTTCATGAATACCACGGCTGTAGGACCCTTCGAACTTGTTGCATCCTGTGTTACTGGCGGTACCGGTGTTGCGAATGATCGCAATTGGTTTGCGCTGCTCCGTTGCCATAGTGGCGATGGAGCTGTTAATCTCGAGATGGTTGATTGTGATGCTCTCTTGGTGAGCTGGCTTATGGGGGCTCGGAAAGCCATTGCTGGAGAATCCTTGATATTGGACAGAAAGAAGATGTTATAAATGGGACATCGCCGAGGTTGCAACGAGAGTAAATCTAGAACATGTCG